TTATTATTATTATTATTATTATTATTATTATTGCTGTTATTGTTTAGTTCTTCTGGCACCAATCTCTGGTGCGGCAAACCACACCTAGAGTGAATGGTAAAACTCAGAAGAGAGGAATTGGAAAGAAAGTGAGAGAGAGAGAAGAGAGAAGAGAGAAGAGAGAAGAGAGAAGAGGGTGAGAAAAGGAAATAAAAGGAGGAAATAAATAATAAAAAAAAGAAAAAGAAATATATTTTGAAAAAGAGTATATTTGTTTTATTTGGGGTGAGAAAGGAAAAAAAAAAAAGAAGAAACAACCGATAAAGGAGGGAGTAGATGAGTACAGATGAGTAATTATTGTTTACATTATAAATTCACTGCCTATATATATATATATATATATATATATTATTATTATCATTATCATTATTATTATTATTATTATTATTATTATTATTCCAAAAAATGAATGCCGTGATATCTTCTTTTGTTTCTTTGCTATTGTTTAGTGTATTATTTGTTCCTTTTATAGTTGGATCTGGTTGTATTTATCTTTTGGCTGATGTCAAGTGTATCTACTCCAACTTTCCCTCAGTTGTTTTTCTTTTTTTCTCTCCCCTTTTTGCTTATTCCTATTTATTTACTTATTTCCCTTTTTTTTTCACCCTTTTTAACGCCACAAAAAGAAAGAGGTGCTCTCTTTGATCTCACTCTTTCCCATTCTGTATGTGTTTTCGATTTATCTTTTTTGTTTTCTGTTTGTATTCATTGTTTACTGTTTGTTTCCCAACCACACGTCTGGGTTTGCCTTTTCAGGCTCTCCAAGCGTTATTGTATCTATTTATCTATTTATCTTTTTTTTATTTACCTATTTATTTATATTCATTTGTTTATTTTATTTACTTATTTGGTTACTTTGACTGTTGTACTGTGGTCCGGTGTTTCCGTCTGTGTGTGTGTGTGTGTGTGGAAGTATTGAACCACAGTTAAACGTTAGGTTATTGTACTCAGTGTGTGATGCCGCACTTCTGATCTCTTTTTCTATTTCTCTCTTATTAGTTGTCTGTAGATTTTATTCCGCTCTTTCACGTATTATGGTGAATTTGATATTCCCTCATTTTTTAATTTTTTTTTTTTTAATCTCTCATGCATGCCATGGTGTTTCTGGCCGGATTATCTGGTGCGTATATATATATATATATATATATATATATATATCTGTATCTATTTGTTAATCAGATTTTCCCTTCATTGTCTTTTGTCTTTTTTTTTGGTTAAAGAGTTGCTACAAACGTTTGTACAGATTTTTTTTTTTTTTTTGATCCTTTCTTCGTTGATTTGTATTTTTGTTTATTTATTTTCACTATTTGTTTCTCTGCTTTTCTATTATTTTATATTTCATCTATCTATCTATCTATCTATCTATCTATGCATCTCTCTTTCTATCTCTATTTCTCTATTTGCGGTCTGCAGGGGACTTTCATATCGGTGTCTGTATTCGTTAGTGTTTCTCTCGTTTATGTGAGCAGAGAAACGAACAAAATCAACAAAAGAAAAGAAACAAAAAAAAAAAAGGGAAATACACACATACACACATTCCAGAATTAAAAGTAAAAAAAAAAAAAAAACAACAACAACAAAGAAAAGTAAATGGAGGGTAATTTCTACATATCGGGAACTGTTATTCAGCGGGAACTGCAGTCCAAT